AAAATTTCATTATGAAAATTGCTCTAGAAAAAGAGATCAACCACTGACAGGAGAGAGGATGCTATGTAAAGACAGATGACAGCCTTTCAGTAAAACTACAGGGAAAGTTCCCATGCTGTGCTGGAACAATTAAAACAGTGACTGCGAATATTTAATTTGCTGGCTTGATTTTGCTTGCAATTGCTGGCATTATTATTATTATTATTATTATTTTTGAAAATGCCTTCCACTCCAAAGAATGTTTCCTCTCCCCTCAGCATTTCTTAGGCTACAGGTAGCACTCCCCTTTGAGGCTTTGTCACAAAAGGGAATAACTTCACTTTCTCATCTTTGTCATCAAAAGGAAAGGAAGGAAAAAAGTAAACATGTTTTGATACAAGATGCTCCCTTTGCAACGTGAACGTAAACCTTGATGAAAATGCACATTAGTTGTTGTGTGCTTTCAAATCTTTTCTGACCTATGGTGACTCTAAGGTGAACCTATCCCTGGATTTTCTTGGCAGAATTTGTTCAGGAGGGAATATGCTTTCCTCTGAGGCTGAGAATGTGTGACTGGCCCAAGGTCACCAACTGGTTTTTCATGGCCAAGTGGGGATTCAAACCCTAGTCTCTAGAGTCATAGGACAACAGTAAAACCACAATAACATGCTGGTCCACTATTTGGTTAGTTGGACTACGTGTGTGTGTGTGTGTGTGTGTGTGTGTATACATATGGCAAAATTGTTGGCTAATTAAGTATTGATGGTAAATGAAACAGACAATTTTTACATCTTAGCATTTGTTGCAACAGGGGTAGGAATCATGCACTTCCAGATGTTGCTAGACTGCAACTAGCAGTGCTACTAGCATAATCCTATGTTGAAAAATGTTGGGTGTTACAATCCAAGAACATCTGGAGAGCCAGACAGTTCCTACCCCTGATCTACAATCTGTCCCTCATCAAATTTGGGGAATATATTTCTTTTTTTCCAGCTGTGGGATTTTCTTCCAGCTATTTTCTCAGTCCTCTTCCCTCAACAACTAGGTAGTTGGTGGATGGATCTACACCAGCCAAAATACTCCAGGCTGCTCCCAGAATATTCTGGCCCCAGAGTTGCCCCAAATTACCCTGGTACCTCTGTTTTCCGAAATGACGCTGGGTGGCTGTCTACACATGCATCCTGCTGTACCACCCATGCCCAGTTGTTCCCTCTGAGGTCGAAATGAGCAATCAGCGTTGATCACATGGCTAGGTGCCTCTACAGCAAAAGCAAATCTTTGTAATGTGATTTAAAGCAGAGATGGTAAGGATTTGATGCAGAACTGGTCTCACATTGTGAAGACAGTCCGTAGTCAAATTGAGGCTTTGTCGTGAAGACACATTGTGGCGAGGGTGGAAAGAAACCAGTTCATTTGGCCCATGTAGACATGCCCCACACAGGTTTAAAATCTGGTGGAGGCTTTGTTGTGGGAAGGGAGAGAGGAAGGGGCTTAAAATCTGGTGGAGGCTTCATGGTGGCAAGGGAGAATGGAATGGTTTTAAAATCTGTTGGAGGCTTCATGGTGGGATGGTGGAAATGGATAGAGGGGAGATTTACATTCTGGTGAAGGCTTTGCAGTAGGAAGATAGAAAGGAAGAGAACAACTTTCCTGATATTTGCTG